GGGGTTCAGCTGAAAAAAAAAACGGAGGCCTGATCCTGGCTAAACCAGACGATGAATGGGTCTGGTAATCCCTCAGCAGATGCAGTACCTCCTTTTAGGATGGATACATGGTTCACTTGGGGGGGGGGGAGGCACCCAAAACAGGAAGAGGCACTGGAAAAGCTTAGAAAACTGGGGTGGTGACCTGGAATGAAAGAGGATTTAAATCTGCATATTTATGGCTGTTTGACATGTGCTAAGCAGGACCCTGCTAGAAGGAAAAGAAGAGGCGAGTTAATGCATCAAGCATTAAAGGGACCCCTCCAACGCTTATAGGTGGACTTTGTAGGGCCCTTGCTTATCACCCCTATAAAAAATAGATTCTTGTTTGTAATTGTGGATAGCTTTAGTAAGTGGGTGGAAGCATTTCCGACCAGAAAAGAGAATAGCTGGGCTGCAGCAAAAGTATTAATAACGGAAATTTTTCCACAATGGGGACTTCCACATAGTACTGATTCTGATAATGGCCCCGTTTTTATTGGACAGGTATACCGAAGTATGGGTAACTGGGCCGGTATTCCCCTACCGTTACACATCCCCTACCACCCTCAAGCAGGGGGACAGGTGGAAAGGATGAATAAATCTCTAAAAATTGAACTGTCTAAAGTATGTAATGAACTGGGAACAAATTGGGACATGGTTCTCCCATGGGTTCTAATGAGGATCCGAGGCCGCCCAAACCGCGTGACAGGATTCAGTCCCTATGAAATACTGTTTGGAAGACCTATGCCTGGTTGGGAAAACTTGTTGTATCCTCCAGATTGGGAAACAATTACAGCATTGGCAACTACCACCTGGATGAACAGCTTTAAATATTGGTTGGGCTCAGTTCAAGGAGCAGCTGCAGCACAGCAAAAAATGAATCAGGCTTTTGATGAACATAGTGATATCAAACAATGGAAAATCGGAGATCAGGTGATGGCTAAAATTGAACCAGTTCCCAAGAAAAAATTTCCAAAGGGAGAATGGTTTGGGCCTTGGCCCATTTTAGATAAATTAGGGCCCTCTCTGTACTTGGTTAACATAAACAAACAGCCTCGATGGAAGCATGCCATGCAATTGAAGGAATATAAGGGTTAAACATGCATGTTACATGTCTGTGCTTGCTTTATAGAAAAACACACAGGATAAGTGAATAAGGTAAGCACCATGGAAACCTTCCAATTAAATAATGGAAGTTTTACAAGCTTTAATCTTAGAGCTCCATTTGCACCCCGCTTAGTATTGTATGTTGCTTGTATGTCAATTAAAACGATTTGAAGTGTCCAGACCTGTCAGACAAATGAGTGCAAAAGGACAATTTATTTGGGGTATTGGTAATATGATCACCATCTGGTGGAATGACAAGGACACTTACCTGGGTGGACTGGCTTTCTTGGTATGCTGCCGTCTTTGTCCAAGGAGGCTTCTATTTGAATAGAATACTACCAAGGTTTAATGACCCTTCATTTCTAGCTCATTGTTAGTATTGTGTCACTATGCTTTGGATTTTTCACACCTAGATGGAGGTAAAAAGACAGCAGAGAGGCAGGCAAGTCTAACAATCAATTTGGAGTTTGCAGTGTGATAAAGATACATGCAGAGAGTTCATATCCCAAACTGGGATTCATAAATTGTACACAGATTCCCCAAAACATCAGGTGGTGTTTCTGTGATACCCAATGAAGCTGCTTCTTCAGGGAGGATGTTGTGAGATGTGGCATGACCACTATCAGTGTGTTCTGCTGGGCTCTGAAGCCCTGTCTGTTTTTCACTATTTCCTTCCTCTGCCCTTCATTTGGTAACTAACTTGGATTTTCTGAGATCCCTTCTCCCTATCCTACTAACGTGTAACTCCTCACCAAGGAGTCTGCTCCTACTCAAGTTTCTGACCTCTCCTTTCTTGTTCCCAGATGGATCATCCTGGTAAATGTTGCTGGAACTCTGGTCTTGTCTATGGTACAGAAATTACTCATTAAATATATCAGAGGGGTAAATACAAGGGAGGAAGAGGAATTATTCCAGCTTAGTACTAATGTGGACACGAGAACGAATGGATATAAACTGGCCGTGAGGAAGTTCAGGCTTGAAATTAGACGAAGGTTTCTGACCGTCAGAGGGGTGAAATATTGGAACGGCCTTCCGAGGGAAACGGTGGGGGCGACGGACCTGTCTGGTTTTAAGATTAAGTTAGATAAGTTCATGGAGGGAATGGTTTAATGGTAAAACATATTAGCCGATGAAAACCAAGCAATGGTACGTAAATAGTATAATGGCCAACAGGGGTCAGACTAGAGACTCATGGGTCTTACTGATCGCCACATTTGGGGTCGGGAAGGAATTTTCCTCCAGGGCAGA